AAACAGCTTTTGGTAAAGTGGCGCGGCTGGAGCGATTAAATTCAATAGTTGGGTAAAGGCTTCCGAGGTCTGAGACATATAGAGGTGGTGAAAAATGAACCCCAATGGTTTGTATGTGACGCTGGCCAGTAATTCATCCTCAAAGATGTTTCCAAAGGACACCAACGCGTGCTTCACAGAGCATCTGGGAAAGGCAATTGACCTGGACGGGAGCTGGGAAGTGGGCCAGGTCGAGCTGCACTATCCGCATACACTAAACACTTTTGATGAAGACAAAGTTTTTCTGTTCGTCAGCAATGAGCTCCAGACTATATGGACATGTACCTTACCGAGAGGGTACTACAGCAACATCGAGCAGCTCTTGCATGAAATGAAACGGGCTGCGGAAAAATCCAAGTTAACGGCTGTAAGTCTTAAATACAACCCCATTAGCCGGTTGGTAAGGATTGTTAGTGATAAACGGTTATACAGGTGCGTAACCGCCTGGCGAGGATGTTGGGTTTCAAATCGGGTGTCAGAAGTGTAAAATCACCACACCCTGTCGATATGACTAGCGGATTTAACACCATGTGTATATATACACCGATATCGTAGAACACCAGTTAATAGGCGACGTCTACGCACCGCTTTTGCGTTGTGTGCCCTTCAGAGGCGTGAATGGTGAATTTGTCACAGTTTTGTACGACAAACCCCATTACATGCCTGTGAGCATCGATCATTTTAACAACATCACTATTGAAATAAAGACGGATCAAAACGAGCATGTGTCATTTGCATTTGGAAAGGTCATCGTCAAGCTGCATTTCAAACCTGTGAAAGCGACAAACATCTAAAAGGATGAAGGTCATCAAGAGCTACGGGGATCCTTCTTTGTGTACACACTACTACAAACAACAGGCTGGTTATGGATTACCAGGATTTTCAGGGCTACCGGTTCAGTACTGCCGGGTATCGGGAGTATTTTCAGAGCGCTATTTAGAAAAGCCATGCCTTTTCTGAAACGAGGGTTTGAAATAGCTAAGCCACACATGGCATCGGCGGCTAAAAACATCGCCAACATTATAAGCGCTGTCATGTCTAAGGTGGCCGCACATCAGCAGGAAGGTTCGGGTCTAGCATACATCCGCAGGGGTGTCAAGAGAAAAAGACAGACGTCATCATCTCACCGTCGGGGGGCCTCCGAAACCTGATAAAAGAACGGCTAAGCGCAGACAGTCAACTCATAAAAAGCTTCAAGAAGGACGTGACACACCGCAATCAACGAGATACAAAACGAGACATATTTTAAATATGGCTTTTGTTTGTGATGGGTCTGCAGAATGCGCCAAGTAGGAGCTGGACATATTTCAATTAGCGCCTACCCAAACAAGCATCTCGAAAAGCTTTTACATAGAAGTTCCACCCCTCACGGCCCTAACGGAAAACACACCTCTGGAGTTCTACGTTGCAGGCAACGGAGAAGATTATTTAGATTTAAACAACACGCTGCTCTATTTGACCTGTAAAATAATGGAAGCAGACAGTCGGGACATTGATGTGGCAGCCCGTGTGAGTCTAGTGAATTACCCCATCGTGGCCATCTTCAGCCAGGTTGACATCACCGTAGGAGACCGATTGATCAGCCAGAGCAACAACTGCTATCCTTACAGAGCCTTAATAGAGTCTGTCTTGAACTACAGTGAAGAGACGCTGAAGACGCAGTATTCAACAGG